CGTTTCCTCGAGCCAGCTTGTTCCAGTGAGTGAGTGGCGGGTGGCTTTGTTTATCATGAATGGGTCTTAGGGTTGGACTTACAGAGGAGGGCCCTTTGTCAAGAGCAGCAGCCCTCTTCATCAGAGTCTCCCCAACAGTTGTCCAGGCTCTGGATGTTAGTCAGTGGATGAAGAATGCTTATACTAAGACAGAAGGTAACTGGACAAATCAGGGGGAAGGAATTAGCCAATGCATATAGAAATTCATTGAGAAAGAGCTTTTTCTTTCTTTTTTCTTGTCCAAGTTATTGGTGCTCTGTCCCTCTCCCCGTGTAGATTTTGAATTTTGTGGTGGTGCCAAGGAGTGAAGGTAACAGACATAAAAGAATCATTTGTGCCCTTTTCCCAATCCCACAGATCTCTATGGGCTGCAGGCCTTGAACATGACACTGCAATTTCCTGGTGCCACACATGAGTAATAAGCAGCTGTTTCTGAAACTGTGGTTTGGAGAAGGCAGCCCTAGGTTATTTTTTAACTTAATTGTAATTTTTGATTGGTCTGCAAGAAAGTAAATCAAATAAAGTCTGTTGTCTTAGTCTGCAAGAAAGCCCTAGGCCTCAAATTCCAATGCTGACCATCTTGACCAGAATAGAAGAGGGAAAAATGTGTGTATCCCTGAGCTGGAAGTTCTGCCAGGCAACTTTCTTGGGCTGCTGCCACACAGGAAGGGTAAGATGTTTGGTAAATCTGCCAGCGAGCTGGATCAGGGAAAGTGGTATGTGACAGTTCTCTGAGTTCTAGAAGTACCTGAAATGATGGAGCAAGAAGAATTTGTAGAGAGACTGCAAAAATGAAAAATAGCAAATTCTGGAAGAAGAAATCATCTTGATATTGCATTTTGTTCTTATCCATGATGAAAGGACACATAATTTTAAGTTACAAATGGAAGTAGGTAGTATTCTTTGAACACCCAGTCAGTATAATACCTCTGAAATAGTCATATATGCACACTCCCCAAGTAAATAAATCAGACTAGTACCTTCCTTAGTACAAGAAATTAAGTTTAATGGAAAACAGAAACAAACTCGCTCTGTTTTGGACATCTGCCTTTTCTCAAGGAGATGGGGCAATTTGGTGTGTGGAAGAGATGAAGGAGGTTGAGTGTAGCGGTGAGGAGATGGGCCAAGAGCTAAATGTGTTTTCTGCTAATTACTTTGTCATGATTTTGTTCACGTACACAGGCACTTTGGGGAAAACAAACGGAGGGATAACTGAACTTCGTCTCAGAGGTCTGTTTCACCATCACTTGTGACATATCCAAATGACCACCTGCTTAACTAAAACCACCAGGCTTCTAATGCTTAAGATGAATGGATGGCCTTGTGACTTTGGATAGATTATTATAAACTTATATTAACCTATGACTAATTTAATTATAAGTAGGAAAAGAGTAAGAAAGACAATCTCCAACCTTGCTCTTTCCACTCTGCCCCACTGCTTCCCAGTACCCAGGGACAGCCAAGTTCTGAGGGAGTATCAAAATCTCTGTAATGTCAGCCTCTCTGGGAGATATAGGAAAGTAAACATACGTCTGATTTTTAAAAAGAACCCTAGGAGATGTCACACTTGGAGCCTACTTTTTGTAGTGATGAAGCTTTTAGATCAGAAGCCAGAATAGCTAGATTCTGTTCCCAGTGCTGCTAGTAGTTGTATTCAAAGAGAAAATTTAAACTTCCTAAATATATCTTTACCCCTAGAAAATTATAAGTATAAAGTTTTCCTTTCTATAATATTAAAAAACAGTTTGTAAATTCTAAAATAAACTTATAGAATATTACCTCACCTTTCTAGAGGAAAAACTTCCAGCAGCTTCAGCCCTTTGGAACATGGCAGTGAACCTATATTGACACATAAGAAGACAATTAATCAAGTCTAAAGAAGCGGAAAGAGTCCCAGAAGAGCTGAGCTGCCACCAAGTCCATGCACTCTCTATGCTCCTCCCTAAATCACACAGTGGAATGACTGAAAATGTTTGTGACAAAAAGATAGTCCTAAGGTGTGACTGTTGCAAACAAGGAAAAAGACAGGAAAGCATCCTTGGTCAGTCAACAAGAACTTAGGTGCCTGGCAGAGAGGGGATATTTAGGACAAGTGTGAGACTCAATCTTTGCCTTCAAGCAGTTTATGTTCTCTTAGGTTGCTCCATGTAAAACCACCATTTTATAGGTAGTATCACCATTTTTATATGTTCAGTCTACAGTTGGATAAGCAAAACAATCATGTTAAATAATTTCAAAGAGTACAAAACAGCATCAATTTCTATAATAAATTATATGATGTAAAAGTAAATTAGATGAAACACAAGAGATCCATGACAGCTGAAGTAGTCAAAGATGGCTTTCCAGATCAAGCCAGAATAGATCTGAGCCATGAAGCCTAGGCGAAATTTAAATAAGGATTAAGAAGAGAAGTGAAACTCCAGATAGAGGAAATGACCTGGTGAAGGCACAGGAGCCAGAGTAAGCATATTCTACAGAGGGAAAAGTTGCTCACAGCCGAAAATACATATTAACAAATGAAAAGAACAATTTTTTTTTTTTGCTGAGGAAAATTTGCCCTGAGCTAACATCTGTTGCCAATTTTCCTCTTTTTGCTTGAGGAAGATTCGCCCTGAGCTAACATCTGTGCCAGTCCTCCTCTATTTTGTATGTGGGTCACCGACACAGCATGGCCACTGACAAGTGGTGTAGGTCCGCGACTGGGAACTGAACCTGGGCCGCTGAAGTAGAGTGCGCTGAACTTAACTACTAGGCCATGGGGCTGGCCCCAAAAGACAAATTTTTATTAAGCAATAATAAATGAAGATATAATAAAATGAAGATATAGATGAGGTTCTTTGATAGGGAGACTAAATATTATAAAGATATCAATCCCCAAATTAATTTTTAAAAGCTTATTAAAATCCCTCGATAGGAATAAATATACATTACTGACTGTGTAAATGTGGTGAAATATTTCAAAAGCCTTCAAAAGGTTCATACCCTTTGTCCCGAGGAAATCTTCTAGATAGAGAAAAAGCTTGATTCATAAGATGCCAAGTCTTCTCTAGATCCTAGATGATGATTCTCATGTCTTCCTTAGGCCTTCTCTTCTCATCCTCAGTTCCTGCAAATAACTGTTACTTACTTGGTTTCCAGACTGTCCTATATCCTGGACTACTTTGTTAGTGCCTCTCTTTAAATGTGTCATTACCCTTGGTTGTTTAGGGGTGAGTAAAATAAGTAAAACCAAACTCAGCTGCAGTCTTGTTACCACAGTTTAGAAATAACCTAGGAAACCTGAGTGTTTCCTGGTGGTCGGGTGTATGATTTGGTTGTGGTTATTTCTTATAAAGTGGGTATCGTGTGTTGATATTAGGAGCACACTTTACTGGGGTTTATCAGTTAATGGTCCTTGAGAAAACATAAATGAAAGGAGGTCTATCTATGGTTTCCTGAAGGTGATGGAGAGGAGGGTGAGTGAGAAAAGGGTAGGGAATGTGCTTGCTTGACTCAAAACAGTCAGCATAATTTCTACCCCCTTTATTAGGAAAAAAATCCTCTCAAAAAATAGTAAACCTGATTTTTCTGTTCACTTTCTGCATCTTAATGCAAAAATAATATACATTGTTTTAAAAAATGCAAAAAACAACTATATACAAAGTGAAAGACTTGCTTCTCCAACTTGCTCTCTTCCTTAGAGTTAACCACTATTATATTCATTTTTAAAACATCATGAGATTATTCTGTGCTATTTAAAAACCACTTTAGTTTTTATCTCCAATATTATGTGTAGCTTCTTTTTTTTCAAAATACATAATTACGTTCCTTGTACTCTTTTATTTTTGTATTCAGTTACTACTATTTACTCACATTGGCACTGTAATTTCTCTTTAGGTATGATTTACTACATTCTGTCAGATGTCATTTTTATGTAAAATTGTCATTTTAACTATGTATTCATTTAAAAGTATCCAGCTATTTCCAATTATTTCCAGATATTTCCAAATTAAATTTCATCTTCATTTTTTTCTTATATCAAAATCAGCATGTATATGCATATGCATTAATGAGAGATAAATAAAGACAGATTTTATCTTGTTAGTGTATGAAGCCCATGCAGTATTGGTTAAGTGAGGAGGGATCCAACTGACCATTGGTTCCAAACTCAGGGATGTTTGCAGGTCAACAGGTGAGGTACTCATGGGAGGCAGGAGATTCAAGACACTAGGGCCTCGTAGGGACAACTGTCAGCTGGAGAGCTCCTGCTCAGCGGAGCAAGCAGCCCCTACCCAGAACCAGGATCATCATCACATCAGAACTCAGGCCTAGTTTTGCTAGATCTAATGATTTTTCAAAAGAAGCCAAAAATCTGGATTGTTATGTGAAATCTCCCAATTCTTAAATTGGCTAATTTTTCTAAACATTAAGAGATGTAAAAAAAAATCTTCAGGCTGAATACAGCCCTCAGACAGCCAAATTGCAACCTCTTTATATTGTTGTACTTATCAGCCACAAAAGAAAACTATTTTTCCACATTTGTTAGATGTTCATGGGGAAGATAGTGAAAATCTATCCTATTAACTCTTCAGAGAAAAGGTATTATTGAATTTGCAACATAAAATTCTCCATTAGCGTGACCCCACATGTTTTCATCTGTTCTGGCGAGTCCACCACACCGTAGCTGTGAAGCTGGTCTGTGAAAGCTGGGCTCCCCATTTGTTGGTCCTCAGTCCCCTTCCCACACTACAGAGAAAGAGGAATACAAAGAAGTTTCAACATCTTCATTTTCCAGCCTCCAGTGGTTTAAACCAGAGTTCTTTTAGAGCAAAAATACTATGTCTTTTCTTTCTCTGAGTTGCTGAGAAATTATAATTAGAGGTTTTCCTGTTGTGTAAAGGAAAGGAATTCCAGTCCTCCTGCATCTGTAAGACTTCTGTTCTCAATGAATTTGCTTCCCCATCCCATTTCTCTTTCTGCAGGTGATAGAAGGAAAGCTGGCTCCATTCTTGGGCAAGGTCATTAAATTTGCCGCCTCCCACGTGTACAGCTGCAGTCTCTGTAGCCAGAAGGGGTTCATCTGTGAAATCTGTAACAACGGCGAGATTCTCTACCCTTTTGAGGATATTTCAACAAGCAGGTACAGAATATCTTGTCTTAGAGAAGTCTACCTGAACACGTCCCATGCAGTGGTATTGGCCAGATCAGGCCAACTTTTAGTCAAGTACTGTATCTCTGTCTTTTTCCCAATGTCAGATTTCCCTTATTCTTGGGGAACAGTTGTACCCTTTGGTTTCCTGTGCTTATTTCCAGCTCTTCCCTCGCTACCTTTATCCAGAATGAGATAACAGAGTTGCAAAGAAGCATCGCTTTACTCTGCCTTATTAGGTAACAAAAAGTGTTCAGATACATTTTTAGAATGAAGATTGGGAGAAAGAACCCTCACAACCCTTTCAGGGCCAAGTGATGGGCAGGGCAGTGGGAAGTCGCAGTCCCAGAAGAAGGCCAAGACTGATGGACTGAGGACTAAAACTAGAGGATACTGAGAACGGCTGCCTGCCTCACCATGTGCTCTTCTTCACCGATCACTGTGGTGTAACGATGAAAGTTTTAGGACCCAATGGAGAGAAAAGTGGGAGTTTATGTGGGATTATTTTTCTAACCAAAGTAATATTTGGGCATCATCACATCTATTGATTGATGGATGATTTTCCCCCCTAACTTGAGAGCAGGGGTTTTACTATTGCTTTTCTTGAATCACAAAATGATACATATCACTTTTCCTTTCATCCCAAAAGCATAATAGAAATATACACTGTGTGTATGTACACTGGCTTCTTTGGGCACGAATGTCATGACTCATTTCCCACCCTGCAGGGCTCACTTACACTGTGGTTCAGGACAGAAGGTGAGGCACGTAGCCAGGAAGAGTGAAGCATGTAGGGAGAGCTACGATATTAAGAGTTGACTCAGCCTTCCTGGCCTCTTCTTAAACCCAAAGACTCTTTGTAAACATCCAGGAACTTAGGTTGGCCCCACACACAGAAAGACAGACACATAAACACACACACGCACACTCACACACAGACATACACACTCACACACAGACACACAGACAGACAGACACACACACAACTCTAGCTTCCAGTTCCCTGAGTACAGGTACTTAGCACCCAGCCTAGAGTTACATACTTCTTAAAAATGTACACCACACAAACTTGTACACAAATGTCATAGCAGCAGTATTCATAATAGCCAAAAAGTGGGAACAACATAAATGCCCATTAACTGATGAATGGATAAACAAAATGTGGTCTATCCATACAATCAAATATTATTCAACCTAAAAAGGTACAAAGTACTGACACATGTTACAACATGGATGAACCTTGGGAACATTCTGCTGAACGAAAAGAGCCAGACACAAAAGGCCATATATTTTATGTTCCGTTTATATGAAATGTTCCAAATAGGCAAGTCCATAGAGACAGAAAGATGAGTGGTTGCCAGGGCTGGGGGAGGGGAAAAGATAATAGCTTCTAATGGGTAGATTTCTTGTGGGGTGATGAAAATGTTCTGGAATTAGACTGTGGTGATGGTTACACAGACTTGTAAATACACTAAAAATCAGTGAATTATATACTTTAAAAGGATGAATTTCATGGTATGTGAATTATATCACAATAAAAAACACTTAGTAAAAAAATTAAATTTAAAAATGCTTCCAACTGAATAAATCATTTGCTGGGCCACAAAATAAGTTTCAATAAATTTAAAAAGTTTTAAACCATACCATGTATGTTCTCTGACACATGGAATTAAGATCCTCAGTAGAAAAGAATCTGAGAAACCCCAAAATATTTGGAAATTAAACAATACATTCTAAAAACTCATGGGTCAAAGAAGAAGTCAATCACAAAAGAAATTTTTAAATATTTTGGAATGAATGAAAATGAAATACAAAATATCAAAATGTATAGAATGCAGCTAAAGTAGTGAAATTTATAGCTATAAACACCTATATCAGAGAAGAAGAAAAAAGAAAGTCTCAAATCAGTAACCCGAAATTCCACCTTAAGAAACTAGATAACGAAGAGCAAACTAAATCCAAAGCAAGTAGAAGGAAGGAGAGAATAAGATTAAAGCAGATATCAATGAAATAGAAAACAGAAAAACAATAGGGCAATGAAACCACAAGTTGGTTCTTTGAAAGAATCAACAAAATTGACAACTCTTTTGCTAGACTGACCAAGAAATTAAGAGAGAAGACAAATTGCCAAAATCAGGAATGAAAAAGGGTACAGCATTTAAAAGAATTGTATATGAGGTATGTAAACAACTTCATGTCAACAAGTTAGACAACTTAGATGAAATGGATAAATTTCTAGAGAGACAAATTGCCAAAACTGGCTCAAAAAGAAATAAAAATATGAATAGACCTACAACAAGTAAGGAAATCGGATTAGTTATTTTTAAATCTTCTCATAAAGAAGCCAGTGAATTTTGTTGAATATTTAAAGAAAGAATGCCAATCCTTCAACGCAGGGATAAAGAGGGGCATTACATAATGATAAGGGGGTCAGTTCTCCAGAAAAACAACAATCCTTAAGGTGTATGAACAGAGAGTCAAAAATACCTGAGGCAAAAACTAATAAAACTGCAAGGAGAGGGCCGGCCCCGTGGCATAGCGGTTAAGTCCGCGCGCTCCGCTGCTGGCGGCCCGGCTAGCAGCCCGGGTTCGGATCCCGGGTGTGCACCGACGCACCGCTTCTCCGACCATGCTGAGGCCGCGTCCCACATACAACAACTACAAGGATGTGCAGCTGTGACATACGACTATCTACTGGGGCTTTGGGGGAAAAAATAAATAAATAAAATAAAAAAAAAAAAACTGCAAGGAGAAATAGACAAATCCACTATTTTTTATTTATATATAAACTTTATGTTCAATTTTTCTGTAAATCTAAAGCTGTTCTAAAAAATAAAGCCTATTAAAATAAAACAATTCATTCAACTGAACAGTTGACTCTAAGATTGAAGCTTAACAGTTTTAATAAACTTTATTAGAACAATTTTAGATTTACAGAAAAATCACAAACATAGTATAGAGTTACCATATACTCCATATCCAATTTCCCCTGTTACAATTAATGAATCAATACTGATACACTATTATTAGCTAAAGTCCATAGTTTTTTCAGATTTCCCTGGTTTTTCCTAATGTCCTTTTTCTGTTCCAGGATACCACATTACATTTAGTTGTTGCATCTCCCCAGGCTCCTCTTGGCTCTGACAATTTTTCAGACTTTGTTTTTATGATCTTGACAGTTTTGAGGAGTACTGGTCAAGTATGTTGTAGAATCCCTCTATCAAGATATACTTGATGTTTTTCTTACGATTAGATGGGTTTTACAGGTTTGGGAAGAAGAGCACAGAGGTCAAAGTGCCATTTTCATCACATCATAGCACAGCCACAGACACACGGTCAGCATGACTTCTCCTGGAATGTCTGTCAGGTTTCTCTGCTGTAAAGTCACTCTGCTTGCCCCCTAGCCCCTTTCCGTGCTGCCCTCTGTGGAAGGAATCACTGTGTGCAGCCTACATGTAAGGAGTGGGGAGATGTGCTCCGCCCCCCTTGGGAACGAAGTATGTACAGAATTGTTTGAAATTCTTCTGCGTGAGAGATTTGTCTCTTGTTGTCTATTTATTTTTTCAATTCTTCATTCATATCAGTGTGGACTGACGCATACTTATTTTCTACTTCGGGTTGTAATCCAATACCGCTTTATTTTGTTGCTCCGACTGCTCTGCCTTGGCCGTTCCGCTCTTCCAGCTGGCTCCTGTGCCCTTGACAGACTCCAGTCAGTGTGGGGTTTTGTTTCTGAGCATTTCCTTACTTTCTGGTGCTGCTAGGTGTTCCAGGGTCACCTTACATATTTCTTGCCCTAATCTTAGAAGGAGCTATTTCTCTAAGGAGCTCTGGTTCCTCTTATTGGAGAATATTAGAGACCAAGATCAGGGTGCTGGGTTGTACATACATTTTTAAAGCCCTTGGTCAAGGACTCATCCCTTGACTGGAGCAGAGGTGCTCCCCTCTGACTGCACATCAGAATCTCCTGTGGGGCTGGGGTTTTTTAATCCCCAGAATCTGTATCTTCAGAGGCTCCCCATGTAATTCTAAGTCACAGCCAGAAGAAAGAATCACTCCTCTAAGACAGCTATGGTTGTAGTCAGAGGGGCTGGATTCTCACAGAATGTGGTCACAGAATGACCACATTAACATGTCTGTGGGTTCGTAGGTGCCTTCACCCAGTAGGAAAGAATGTGTAGCTATTTCGAATCCTGTTTCTGCCTTGATCAGATGAAGTTCTCTAAGCTTGCACAAATGTCTGAGTCCAAAGGAGCCCTGACCAGCCTTCCTGGAATTCCAGGTTGATACTACTTTCCAGGAACCCCTTGAGCTTCCTCTTGTTGTTCAGTTTCCAGTGAAACACTGGGAGTGGTTTATACGAGTCTATAGGAAAGGACAAAAAGAAACACTAATAAAAGATTAAAGGAAAACTTTAATCAGAAACAGAGTTGTAGATTTAAAACATGTACATAAAGATGTGCTGAAGAAATAAATGTGATAGAAATAAATCTGAATAGTGGGGTAAATTTTAAAATCTACGTGTAACTGAAATCTTTATGGATGAAGTAATATGATATCTAGGATTTGCTTCAAAATAAACTGATGGTGGGAGAGAGGGCAGAAAGAGATTGATACTTGTTGAAGCTGGTGATAAGTACACAGGGGTTTATTATACTATTCACTCTACTTTTGAAATTTTCTATAATAAAACATGTTTAAAAATCTATATGTAAAAATCTTAGAAATGAAGTATTTAGTGAATTTGTTACCACATATCCTTGACCATCTTGCTAAATTCAGCACCTCTGTGTCCTCAGAAATATATTTAATGTTCTTTCAGATCCAAATATCATTTGAATAGCATAATTACAATTCAGTAAAAAAACATTCCACAGGCATTAGGACTATTCATTCTTTGAATAATGATTTACTGAGCATCCTGTGTTTGTGCATTGGGCTGGGTTCTGGAGACACACTGTGAACACAGCGTGCTCCTTGCTCACAAATAG